ACACTCCAACCCACTGAGGGTCAATCAATGTTGACTCTAGATGAAGTTCTTGTACCTTCAACGCAATCGCACACTCCAACCCACTGAGGGTCAATGGCCTCTCAAATTTCGCCAGCGCCACCAGAAGGCTCTTCAAGATAAAGTTGATTGCCACGACTAAGACTGAAGACGCTGTTGTCACCGCAAACATCAAAACTTGTTTGTCGTAGAAGTCCTGGCAAGCTGTTTTAACGTCTCCGGTCATAGAGGACATGCCAATTTTGGCACACTCGCAATCAGTGAAGTGGTTCTCGAGGGCGGGAGCTCCTGGAGCGTTCCTGGATTAGAAGATGACGAGACGGCGACATGATGTCATTTTGACCATGTTGTTGTCATTTTGATTTTGACCGTTTGATAAAAGATTTAAACTACTAAGACAAGGAGCACAGTAGTTTTAGACTCATTTACTACTTTTTTCTTAGTTGTTGCGCCATAAACGATATTCGCCTCCAAATAAGCCTTCGCCGTTACTCCGTCTAAGACCACAGTATTCGGTGGATTCGAATCGCGGGTGTAGATGATCTCCGCGCAGTTCTTTCCTTCGGCCTTCTCAGTCTCGTTTTTCTGCGTTTGCTGAGACCATAGGATGCCAGCAGTGGAAATCAGCAACAAGATAAAGACTAGTAGTTTTGTATGACAGGAAAAAGTATACTAATACTCAAGAAAAGAGGCAGCTTCCTACTTAGGGAGCACCTATGGTCTGGAGGATGAGCACCAGCACACTTTTTCCCCTCATATTTCGTGAATCCTCTACGACAGGCACGCTCAATTGCCGGACAGTCCTGATTCTCCCACAGGATGTTGGAAGGCTCTGGTGCTGGAGCCAAACGGATTCGCTTCAACCCTCGAAATCTCAATCGCTTCGACTGGAACAGGTATCCCAGGCTTAACTGCGACATTCGGTAGGCGTCAAGCAAAAGTTCCTTGTCCTGAGCTTTGTTGCACACGACGTAAGCGCGATAGATCGGGCGTTCAATGGTTGAAGCAAATTTTTCCTCATCAGCGCGCCGCTTCTTCTTCTGCGCCAGCAATTTTCGAGCTTGCGTGTGCAGCTTCTTCAGCTTTTTGCCGTCGGCGTGGCAGATGAAATCAACTCAACTTCTGCTGGTGGATAGCTTGAAAAATCTACCACTACATACTTTCAATCATCGCTCTGCCACATGATCAGCCAGCTTGTTCCAGCTTGTTGTTGGAATGTTGAGCAGGCATCAACAACAACATCAACTACAAGATGCCTAAAAATGTACTTCTTGCTACTTCCAGGAGAGTTACAATATCCTTGGCCATACCTAAGGTCGCCTCCACGATCTCCGTTTTCAATTTTGCTTGACTCGCATGTTCCGCCAGTCGTCCCCCGTAGTCACGAGCGAAAGAGATCTCTGGAAACAGATTGTCTGGTTCGTTCTCCGCATCCACTACGCTCTTGTCAACCTCTTTATTAGCTGTATAAGGACCTTCTTCTTAGAGCTTGCCCAGATTCATGTTGATGGTCTGTGCTCCACTTCGAGAGGAAAGCAAAGAAACAAAGATGTCTCTTGACAGGATGAATCTATCATACATTTAGGGAAAGAAAGAGTCTTAACCTTCATCTCCCAAATGTGCCGCACGTTCTTCCAGCAACACTTTCGCAAAATGCTTCTTCAACTCAGCTTCGAAGTCTTCGGGTTTGAGCGATTCTTGGTCAAAAGCTGGCAGTTTGTCCAGTAGAAAGGCGAAATCAGCAGGAGTGATGGAGGCAGCATCAAGGGCTTCAGCGTCGCGTGGGATTTTGCGATAGACAAACCACATCACGTAGACGAAGTACATCCCTGCACCAAAGGCGGAAAGGAGTGACATCCAAGGAGTGACGTCGACCATGTACTCTTTGCTTCCCTCAGATTAGACATGGAAGACTCTTGTTCTCGTTCGTTACAAGAACAGGTAAAAGTAGTACTGCTGAAGATTACAACTGGACGATCTAGAAGTAGTTCATGCCGTGTCATTGTTCTTTGCTGCAGCTTGTACTAGTTGATGTACAAGAACTTCTACTACTAGTGATCATTTAGTGTAGTTGGTCGTTCCTTGTGCCATAACAAAAGTCAATCTTTCTCTGTGTCGGATGAGGCGAGGCCTCCAAAGAAGAATCTCCAAAGCTGGCAAGTGACAAAACCGCTAAGAAGCCTACACCATGTTCATCGTCACTATCTCCACTTGGAGAAGCACATCCCAGAACCACGAAGAGCAAGAACAAGGACCATACGCCAAGGAAGAAAGCGCCGCCACGAAGAAAGCTGAAGTATAGGCTATTAGAGGTGAAGAACGTATCTGTTGAGGTGAGGCTCTCAGGATATCATTATCAAGACTCTGCTAGACATATTTCAGGATGCATAGTAACCAAACAAGAACAAATCTTCTTGCCTTAAATTGTATCCCCAAACTTTGACTCAACTCTCCGATTTTCTTGCTGTCAGCCTGCATCCAGTTTGGACGTTTGGCTTTTTGCGCGCCTGCGTCTCCTGCGCCGTCCTTCGAGGTTAGGGAATTACATTCTTCGGAACATCTACATCCCTGATTTATTTGCTACTGAAAAAAGAGTCAGGGACGCTAGTGAAGGATGTAATGTGGGAACCTTTAACATCACCATCAGTTGTAGTATCCTGTTCGACTTCTACTTGTTCCAGGATCTTCATTTTCCGCGCCTCCTCTATAGCACGTGACCGTGCGGCTTTTCTGGTCGCTGAGTCAGCGAATTTTTTCGGGTGTTAGAACGAAGAGGAGCCGTAGGAGCGAGAGATGACGCATCATGCTATTACTATCGAATTCGAGGAACAATAATTGTGACCCGTCGAAAGCGAAACTCAAAAGTTGTAGTACATACTCAAAATGCAAATGCATCATCATCTGGAGAAATGATCATCTTTATGAGCATGACGTGGCTTAACTATAATCCAGCGGCCTTGGCGTCATTCGTGCCAGCTCTTCCCGAGATAGCATCTCTTCTAGTGGCTCAGAAGCACTTGACTCGAGAGTCAACCTGACAGATTGATTCAGCCCATCATCGTCGTCTGCAGCAGGTTGCACTTCTAAATCGAGCTCCTCAGTCACCATGTTCTTCTCCACCAACGCCGTGACGGCAGCACTCTCGAGCTCCTCAGTCATGGCGTCGGGATCGGGGGTAGCCGCGGACATTTTGATGGAGAAGACCAAACTCGAGTGACTGGAGAAGACGGTCTGAGTGACTAAGGAAGACGGTCTGAGCGACTAAAGAAGACGGTCTGAGTGACTGGAGAAGACGGTCTGAGTGACTAACGAAGACGGTCTGAGTGACTAAAGAAGACGGTCTGAGTGACTAAAGAAGACGGTCCGAGTAGAGGCGGTTTTGTTTTGTTCCAGTGCCTGGCTCAATCTTGATGTTGCCTTGAAAAATGATGAAACATCTAGTCCGTAGCCGTACTTACTAGTTGTGAGAGAAAGTAGTCATCTTGATCTCCTAATGCTACTTTTCCAACCGACTATAGTGCTAAGTGTCGTGTTTTCCATCTTTCGTGGACGTAAACCTGCGAAAAAAATTGCCGTACAATTCCCAGATGACCGTACTCTTCTTTTTTACCTCTCTGTAATTGTGTCCGAGTCCGTGTCCTCCCTGTCCCTCTCTACAGAAATGCTCGATGGACAAACTCAGTAGATCAACAACAACTCA